ATCTATTTATATATTACCTCACAGAGAAACAATGAATGAAAATATTATTGTTCATATCACTAATGTCCTCTTTGTTTCATTAAATAATCAAAATGTATTATTAATTCAAAATGAACTAGGTGATCTTTTTAGAATTCTTCCAAACTCATCTACAATTGAATATTTCGATACTATTTCACCTTCAGTAAGTTGGTCAATAAATGGTGATATTATTTTCAGTGCTTCTGAATCTCAAAACCATCTTGTATTAAAAGTACCATCACTCACAATTCCAATTCAACCATCATCTACTTATAAACCACAATCACTATATTTTAATATCTCTACTTCTATTTCTTCACACCATCCATTAACATCAGTTGATGTTGTGGATAGTCATGAAGTATTTCAAATAAGGGCTTTTGTTGGAAAAGGAAGTAGAAGTTCATTAAAAATATTAACTCATGGACTTAATCCTGATGAGTGTATGTCATTGTCATTACAACATCCAAGAAATATTTGGACATTAAAACCATATAATGAACAAACACATCAATATGTTGTTATTGGATTAGAAAATCAAACATATGTATTGAAAACTCTTCCTGATGCATTAAAACAATGTCCTGAATGTGGTATTCGACCTAACGTACAAACACTACATGCAGGAATGTTCATAGATGGAACATTAGTTCAAATCCATGCTCATGGAATTATTACAATTTTAAATGAAAAATTATCAGAACAAGACCCTGGAGCACAAAGAACAATTTTAGTAGGAACATCAAGTTCATGCCAAGTAGTTATTGCACTAAAAAATGCACAATCTAAATGTGAAATTGTATATTTTGAATATAATACTGAAACAAAGAAATTGGCTGAAGTAGAAAGAAGGATTATAAGAAGTAATATTATTGCAATGGCGTTAGGTGACTTTGAAAATGGAAAAGCTAAGAAAGTTGCATATATTTGTGATAATGGAATGGCTAATATTTTAACATTAGAAAAAGAAAGTAAATTTCTTCAAATTCTTGAAACAAATATTACTGTTGAAGGTGAAGCAGAATCAATAATATTAACACAATTTAATGAGATATCAGAACCATTCTTATTCCTTGGTATAGGAATGAAGGATGGATATTGTTATGGATATAAAATTAATGGAAAAAATTCAGAGTTAATGTGGTGTAAATTAATTGGAAATGACCCTGTTGTATTTGGACAATATGAATTTGGTGGAAATATTGGAGTTATTATGTCATCAAGTACAATGATTTTCATGTATTCATATTTTTCTCGAATTGAGTTTACACCAATTTCATATCAACCATTAAAAGCACTAGCACCATTTATTACTGATTTCTCTGGGGAGTCTATTGCAGGAATTACAAATGATGAGTTAACAGTTATAGCGATTGGTTCATTAGATGATAGATTTACATATGATGAACAACCATTATTATATACACCAAGAAAAATAATTAAATCAAATTATTTTCCAACAACAGTATTATGTAGTGATAATAAAAGTAATTTATATAACCCTATTATAGATAATGAAACAAATGAATTTAATGAAAGAAAGATTGGTGTTGATTTGCAAGAAGATGGAAAATGGGCAAGTGAAGTTGGAATTATTAACAATTCAATATTTAAATCATATTTTAAAACTGATGAAGCAATAATTTGTGGAGCACATGTTTCGTTTAAAAAGAAACAATGTTTTATTTCTTCACAAGTTAAACACTATAAGAAAATGAAAGGAGAATGTTGGATTAATGTTTATAATCTTAAAACATTTAAATTAATTCATAAAACACCAGTAGAAGATATATGTCGTGCATTAACATCATGTGGAGAACGACTATTAGCAGGTATTGGTACCACACTTAGATTATATGATTTAGGAAAACAAATATTAATAAGAAAATGTGAATTAGACGGATTTCCATCAATTATTAATTCATTAGAAGTAATTGGAGATAAAATAGTTGTTGGGACAGTTGCTACAGGATTTATTTATGTTAACTATGATTCAGATGCTAATATTTTAAGTATTACTGAAAAAGATCGTATTTGGCATAGTTTAACAGCTTCAACAATTTTAGATGAAACTTCTACTATTGGATTTGATAAACTTGGAAGTGTTTTTATTACAGAAACTAATACTACTTCAAATCAACTTAATTTAACCAATGTTATTCCATTGTCTAATGAAATAGTTCAATGGTATGTTGGAGATGTTGTTACTTCTGTTTCTGTAAATGAAATATGGAAAGGAATAACAGATAATATTAATGAATATACTTTTGAAGAACAAATTAAAGAAAATAAAAATGTAATTATTTATTCATGTTTAATGGGACGTATTGGTGTATTAATACCATTTAATTTTAGAGAAGATGTAGAATTCTTTTCAAAATTAGAAATGGAAATTAAAAATAATTATTCTCCATTACTTTCTAATTCATTTGATTCTTATCGTGGAACAAATTACCCTGGTATTGGTGTTATTGATGGTGATTTATGTGATTATTTTAACCAAATGGATCCTAAACTTCAATTACAAATAGCAAATAATCTTGAAATGACTCCAGTTCAAATTCAATTAAAATGTGAACAATTCAAGCATTCAAAACTCTTTTAAACCAAATACTAAATTGAATGATTATTTTTTATTTATGTTTTTAATATTAAAATCCTATAAATTTATAATAAAAATCATTAACCATCCTTCTTATTTGTGTTAAATCAAAATAAATTTCAATACAAGGCTAATTCTTATTATTTTATTTAACTTTATTTATGATATTTTATTTATTCATATTCATCATTTAAACCAAATAATATACCATTAAATTTTTCATCATCAAACTCTGGATGTTTTTCTTTTAATTTAAAATAAAGTCCTCCTGTAATTAAACTATCTGAACCAGCTTGATGCATTGTACCAATTCTTTGAACTCCTAAACTAGAAGCAATTGCCTGTAAACTACCATGATAAGTTTGACTAATTTGATTAGTAACATATTTAAGATCAATAATATTAGGAAAGAAGATTCTTAATTTTTTTATGAATCCATCAACATTAGAAGGTAATTTTTCACATGTTAATAATTTAAGCATATATCCAAAATCATATCCACTATGAAACGTTAACCAATGTGTATTTTCATTTAAAACTAATCCAGATGCCATTATAGCCTCTCCGAAATCTTCAGCTGAAATACCTGCATTTTTAAATTTACCAAAATTAATACCTGCTTTTTGTAATAATTGAATAGAATCAACAGATGACTCATCTTTATCAGTATCAAATTGAAAATTAAATTGCCATGTTCTAACACCATCTGGATATTGTCCTTTTTTATTTTGTAATGTAATACCAACTTGAATAATTTTTAATTCATCTACATTTCCTTTTAAAAATGAATAATGTTCATCTGGATCTACTGAATCTTGCATATTGCAAGATGTTCTACTTGAAAATCCTGGAAATTCTGTATCCATTGAAACATATGGATAATTATCAATTAAATCACTAATATTCATCATTTCATCTTGTAAATTATTTTGATACACATCAGTAAAATAACTGTTTTGGTAATTTTGTTCTGGAATTACATATGGTGGAAATTGTCTATTAGGTGGTATTATTGGCATTTGAGGAAATCGTTGCATTGGGAACCCTGTATAAAATGGTGAAGCGTTCATATTCATAAATGGGTATTCCATACCTGGATACGGTTGCATAATATAACTGATTTTTGAGTTTTCTTTTCATTTTTTAGTTATTTTTTATATTTTTTTAATTAAATATTTCAAAAAATTGTTTATTTGTTCATTTTATAAAACCCTTTTTTTTTCTAAAAATTTTTTTGGTATTTTTATCATTATTAATCTTATAAAAATAAAGTATTTAAGATTATGACTCCTTTATTTTATAACTCTTTCTTTTTTTATTTTAAAAAAAACTACTTTATTTGACCTTCTTTTTTAACTCTTCTTCTCTTAATTAAACATTAATTTTTCATTGAAATGAATCCCTGTTAAATGGGTTATTTTATTATTGAAGTTTTTAAGAATATTGGATTAAGGAAAATTAAAAGTATCTTTACACAGTAAGTCTAAGAAACATTTAAGTTGTATTTGAGATGTTTGTTTATAAAAACACTTTGAAATATCCTTCTCAGTCACATCTAATCAAAAATTTTTTGTTTCAATTACTGAACGAAATTCATACAAAATCTTATTAGAAGAAGCTTTTTTATATAAGTCATGCACTTATTTAACTAATGGAAAATAGTATTGCAACAACTACCTTTCAGTTAAAACTTATATAACAAAGAAATTCACTGTTGTCACAATTTAGAATACACTATTATTACCTTTGTAATAATTACCATTGTACTAAAACCATTCTTTATAAAAAACAATTATGAAATGTTTAATTCCTATATTGGATACCCCCATTATCATCGTTATCAGTGTTCTTGTCATAAATATTAACATACTTCTCTAATGGATTTTATTAGAAAATAAGCTTTTAGAAAAACATGTCTTACCAGATATATAAAAGTGTAATGATACGAAAGCAATCAGCCTTAGTAAGTTAAAGAAGGATACTTATGAACAAAGGCGTGTTAAACGAGTTAATCAAAATTACATTCCTCTTATACCTAAATAGAAATTAATGATTATAATATCTATTATATTCTTTTAAATTGAATAAACCAGAAAAACAAAAAAAGAATTAATTAAAAAAGAGTTGCAACGATGTTATTGTGTTTGTTATGATTGACAATGAAATAAAATATAGTTCAAGATGATTACCAATACTATTTGACAAGTTTATGTATGAAGCAAAAGACGTTTATTTAAAAAAAAAAAGATTGGGGGTAATTTTAATAATAATTGATTTAGTATCTGTGATTCTTATTGTTTATTTTTATAATAAATATTGAATGTTATATTGAAACAATAAATGAAAACAGAATTTGAATGGTTAAAGGTTAGAATCAAACAATAACTAACAATCTGTTTGTTCAATAATAATATTCAATAATACAAATAGTTGAATGAATAAATAGAAATAAACTCAACATCTTTGAGTACTGATTCTGAATGAAAATAAACTATAAAATTGTATAAATACAATAAGGATAACAACTAGAACATATGAACAAATAGTTAAAGAGAAAGACATACCAGAACAAACAGAATTAAAGAGTAGAAGATAAGATAATAGTTATGTATATCAACAACGAAATAAACAAAACAAGTAGAATAGAAGAATTTAACATATATGAAATTATTAAATAAATGAATTGAAATAGATGAAAGAAGAGAAAATGAAATAAAAATAAGGAATAAAATAATGGAAATAATATCATTCAAGAATGAAATATAATGAATACACAATTTATGTATTTTATGTAAAAAAGATAAATATTAATCATATTAAGAAGTTAAATGATATGAAAATAAGAATTGATTAATAATAATTAAAATAAATCAGAATAAAATGATAGAAGTTAATTAATTATATAATTTAGCTGAATAACTTGATGATTCTTCTCCTAATTGATCAATAACTTTTTTAATTTCATTTTCATCTTCTGATGTAAGAGTTTTTTTAGATTGAATAATAAGTTTTTCTAATTGAGTTGTTTCAATTTTTTTCTTTAATAACTCTTTTTGAAGATTATGTGCATTATCTATAATTTCTTTTAATCGTTGTGTTAGAAGAATTAAATTTTCTTTTCTCTTATCTTCAGTAGCATGTTCTTCTCCTTCCTTAACTAGTCGATTAATTTCATCTTCATTCAAACCACCATTCGATTTAACTTGAATTCCTGTTTTCTTTCCTGTTCCTTTATCAAGAGCAGAAACTTTTACTATTCCATTAACATCAATATCAAATGT